CCACCGCTGAGCCTACACCATTTTTCTTTTTGGGCCTAAACCCTATTTTTCAATTTTTTTGAACTCAACAACTTGCCCCCTTCCCTTCTGACTTTCAAACGTCATACTTTGATCGCCGTGAGATATGACGGTTGTAAGTATGCGATTCGAAACAACAGTGTAATCATTACACCCTTTCGAGTCAAATCACAGGATTTTGCCAAAGCCTTTCTTTTCAAACAAATCATTTCTCCTTCAACATTCGCGAAAATCCCTTTGCATTTCGACTCTCGCGTCTTCTTCATTGCACATCCTTCCTTCAAACCTTCAGTCACATGGTTAAAAAATAGGGAATTGATTATGAGTTTATTGAGTGAAGTATGCATTATTGGCTATGATCAAATATATATAAAGAAGTGAAGTTGTAGACTCTTAATCGCATTATCACAATTTTTTTATACTAATTTTACTAGTGAGTTTCCAGGTCGAACACAAAGAGTTTAAGTTGTGAAATTTAAATCAAGAATTTCCTACAAGTTAAGCTCAACAGAAAAACAGTAAGTTGGCTCGCTTGTAAGCGAGTTAGAAAGTTAAATTAAGACAAAATTGAAACAAAGCGATTAATGTGAGCGATTGATGAGAGTTGGAATGAGAATGTTGCGTGTGAGGTGGATGCAGCGAAAGGGAGCGGGTGTACAGTGAGCCGATTATAGATATATGAGTGATACTACGTGAGCTGGAAGGGGGATCAAATAAGGTTGTGTGCGACTTGTGCGTTCTTTAATGGCTAGAAGTTCATAGATGAAATGAGCGAGTGATATTAGTGAGTAAACGAAACACATACATATATCACATAATGACATAAGAAATGAATGTAATTGCGCAGAATGATTAAAACAAAAACTGAGATCATTGGTACTTGACCTTAAGAAATTTACAACAAGACTTCAATGACGTCCAGAATCAAAACAGTATAAGCAATAAATGCTACTGTCACTAGACATTTCTGTGACCCAATAGACAAATGCCTATGCCCGATTAATTATTCTAATTTTTGTCTCATTATTGGCTCTACCCTTCTATTACCCCTCTTTAATCAGAATCGAATTTAGAACAATAGCTAATCAGGTCAATAAGGTTCCCGCGTACTTAACTACATTGAACTACCTAAATTATGTTAATGGATACGACGCGAATTTAGGGTTAGATGATCGATTCTTCTTTGTTCTTTCTCAGCGAATCATAATTTTTAGTTCATCATTTGAGACACAAATATGAAGCGGTGATGAAGATAAGTATGAAGAAATTATGAAATATCATTAAACTAAAGAAAACTATAAAGATCTACATTACAAAAGCAATAACAAAGCTGTAAATCAAAGTAGTAAACCATTCTAGAAAGCAGTAAGTTGAGCGGCCAGAGGGAAGAAGATCTCAACTCCTCTGACAATTTTTATCTAGAGAACTCCTTTCAGAGTTAGAGTTCTTGGAAAACACTAAAATCTGGAGAAAGTAAGAACTGTGTAGTGTATCAGTTGTTTTTTCACAAATAGAATATGTCCCTATTTATAAATCTATGGGATTGGCAGTTGCAGAGCAGTTGAGCGGCGGTTGAAACCGCTGGACAGTTAGGCGGTTGACGATGGTTAATCTGTTGAAACAGTTGTACCGGCCATATCTCTCCGATCGCCACTTCGCTTGCTTAGGAATGTAAGGGCACAAATCTTCCTCGTTTGCCTGGATGGCTGAAGAGCATCAAATCTTACTTCTGCAGCGACGGATGTCTGATCGCTGGCGCAAGCGGTAAGAACGTCGCTTGCCAAGCCAGAGCACCGTCACTTTACTTTCAACACTTAGCTTTTCTGAGTCAAAAACATCGTTTTAAAAGGCCAAAAATATTAATAATCTCAATCAAACGAACTCTGGATCATGTCAAACGAAACAAATCAATAAAATATGTCATAAATTAGATATTGTGATGATTTTCACATAAAATTCAAGTAATACACTGCTTTGTCAAGCGAAAGAGTTTCACATAAAAATTCAAGTAATACACTGCTTTGTCAAGCGAAAAAATATGTTGTTATTTGGAGTTATCAGTTAAACAGTATGTTTCCGCCCTTCCATTCAATGGTTATGATCCAGAAACTTCTTTTGTTTCTTCCAGGGTTTTAACCCCCATCATCCGTCCATATTGTACCTAGAGCCGTCAAAATGGATTTAGCCCGTCAGGTTGGCCCGCCCCGCCTCAGTTTTAAGGAGGGTTGGCTTGTAATTTTTTAAGTTCGTTAAAACGCAGACCTAAATGAGCCAACCCACGTGGGCCGTGGATTGAGAGTGGGTTAGCCCGTAGTAGGACGGGTTAGTCCGCGGACCAAATAAATATAATAATTAGTACTCATCCGTCTCAACTAAATGTATTTTTCACTATTCTTTACTGTCACATTAAAGAATTATAATAAAAGTAATCAAATATTAATATCATAATATATTTTAATTTTATATAAATTACAAATATACCATTATAAATACAATTAATTTATAAATAACGTACAAAGAGTAAAAAATATCAAAATTGAGTGGGTTTTAATGTTATCTAAAAGGCGAGTTGGATTGAATGCAGGACTCTTGATGGCTAACGGTGTTCCTTGTGTGATAATTTCAATGATACAATGGTACGTTGATGATGAATTCTTTGATTGCACCTCATTTTTTTTTACGTTTGATTAACAATTTGGTATCCGCTCCTCATGTTATAAACTTTGATTTTCTATGCTGTCACGTGATCATAAGTATGCAAATAACTATAATTAATTATTTAATTAGTATGTTTTGTATTGTATAATTTGTATACATAGGACGTAGGTCAAAGAATGACGGGCAATCAGACAAACAAATGAGCTCAGTCATACAGTGGAGAATGAGATGCAAGAATAATAAAAAAATTCTACAATAATAAAAGCAAGAAAAAGTACAAAGAATTTGCAGCAGATTGATAAATCAATGAATAAATAAATAAATAAAAAATTCCAGATATTTAAACTTGAATAGTACATACTTTGAATTATAAGAAGAATAGGGCTAAAAATTGAATCTTCTGTTACCTCTGGCCCATATAAAGAAGATCACTCGTCTTTTCCTCGTTATATTTAACATTAAAAATATTTTTATATTTGTATAATATAATATTTGTATTATAAGAGACTAATAAAAATACTTTTGTATTTTTTCTTAAATTTGCATTATATATTGAGATAATAATTAATATTAAAAAATCAACGCGCAAAAAATCTACGATACTTTTCTGATGGGATCAAAGTAGTATAAAAAATTATTTATAAAAATTTGAGTAGACTCCTTATTTTATATAGAGATCCAAAGAATATGTAAATAAATTATAATTTTAAAAAATAAATTAAAATGGTAGTGACAAGTTAGAATTTTAACTTTGACTTTGTTAGACATCTTAATAATTATACTTGAAATTTTAAAAATTATTTATAACAATATGAGTAGATATCATTAGTATTATACAAAGACATCATTTTTGTAATATATATATATATTTAATCGATAAAATCTAACGATTTTCAATATGTAAAATACTAAAAATTCATCGTATAAAATAGTTTAATTTACTTAAATAGTTTTCATATTTAAAAATTATATATTTAATAAAAATAACTAATTTTAACAATCTAATAAAATTTATACTAGTTTCCAAATATAAGCGGTTCACAAATATATCATTCAATGTGTCATATGATTTTAAAATTATACTTCCTCCGTCCCGTGAAATTAGTCTACTTTTTTTGGGCACGTAGTTAAAAAAATATTGAGTTATCTAATTAATTAGTTTGATTAGTTGATATAATAAAGTTTATTTTAAATATTTTTTATTTGATAAAAATTTTTTTAATAGTTTAAATATTTTTTATTTTAATTTTAAAATATTGAATTTTTTATTTACTGAAATTATTTTAAAATAATAATAATAATTGTATATATTGTAAATCAATACATGCAATTAGATAAAAAAAAATATAATTTAAATAATTTAAATGTAATTAATACAATAAAAATGTAATAATAGAAATTTTATATAAAAAATATATAAAATTTTTCGAAATTAATTTATTAGAAACAGTTCGGTATGACACATCAAATTTAATGGCACATTATATACGATATCAAAATTTTTGATATGATATTTTACTGTACTAATGTTGTATAAATATTTTGGTACAGCGAATTTACGAATAAAAAAATATTGAATTATGGAAATAACATACATATTCATACAAAAAAAATATTGAAAAAAATTTAAATTTTCGGTACGGTATATTTTATTTTGTATAATAATGATATACATTATATATTTAGTATATATAGATAATAAAAAAAAAATCGATATTTATGTATATACCGAATATTTGATACAATATCGATATCTTTTTAATAAATTAAAAAATTTGGTACGGTGTACAATATAGTTCGATATTTTCGATATACTTTTTCAAACCATGTCTAATTGAATTGTATATACAATATTAGAATATAATATTTTACATTGAAATAAAATTAAAAAAATAATTTTATAATTTTGTATAATAAATAAGTTTTCTTATTATTTTTTTGCATAAAGAAAAAAAATTGAAATCAAATTTCATTTTTAAATAATTTTTCGACAATAAATTTTAAAATTAAATATTAATTTTTTATATTATATTAAAAATTAATTTAAAAAAAATTTAAAATTAAATAAATACTTATTTATATTATATTAAATATTTATTTTATTTTTATTATTCAAAATTTTAATTCAAACAAAGAGTAAAATTAAATATATTAATAAGTTAATAGAATATAATTAAATTTTTTAATTATAAGTATTAATTATTAATTATTAGTATAATAAAAAAGTAAATTGATGGGACGGCTTAAAAAAAGAAAAGTGGAGTATTTTAATAAATATATATATTTTTAAAAAATGATGAATAATGTAAAATCTCACCAAATCTTCTTCAAACAAACACAGCCGAAGTAACGTGACAAACAATTTGAGAAATTGAACCCTGAAGCAGGCAGCAACAATGGCGTCCCAACAGTGCGATAAGCAAAGGGAAGAAATCTTTCGACTCTTTGATGAAAAACCTGGTTCTGGATTGGGCTTTCTTGGCTTCCCTGAACCATCCCTCCCGCCTCCACCGCCATGCCTTGAAGTTCTTCCATCCGAGGTAACTCTGCCTGCTCCGCTCTTTCAGTAATGAACGCCGTTAAATAAAAAAAACTTATTTTCGGTTCTTATTTGCTTAAAATCTAGACAGAAGTAAATTGTTTGCTTTTAATGTGAGTATAGGTTTCCCCAAATATAAGGAATAATAATACTGTCGAAACTGTCGATGTTGGCGGACTTACACTTCTCAAGGTACGTAGAAGCACTGATCGATGTATTTATTTATTTTTTCCCAAATTTGTGTATTTCTCAGTTTTTATGTTTACAATTGTATCTGTAAAGTCTCAGAATTAGAATTATTGATTTGTCACGCCCACACTTCTTCCACCAGAGGATTTAGGGTTTAGGGTTTAGGATAATTGTGTAAATGTTGTATTTGTAGAATTGTTGTGAATGTGGTAAGAGTCGTGGAGAAAGTTACATATGCATACATGTTCTTGGATGTCGGGGAATCTTAGGGCAAGTTTGGATTGAATCATTCGTGTAAATTGAATTTGGATTTAAAGTGAATTGAATTTGAAATGGGAAATTCTAGATACATTGTTTGAATCATGTTAGATTTGTTTTAAGCATTTGAAATTGGTATAGCTCAAATCTTTCGACGCAAAATGGCTGTTAGAGATTTCTAAAGTTACTATTGACAAAATTGGTGGTCGATTTGCACAAGTGAGGATGTGATGAGGCTCTTATATGCATGCACAAAAACATTATTCAATCATTGGAATGATAAGAGTATTACTCCAAGGATTCAAGCGTTCCTATATTGCTCGACTGATTTCCTTAATAATCCTTGTACACAGTTTGAGTTTCGAGGCTTTTTAGCTAAAGCTGTAGGGGACAGTTAAAGGCGTTGAGTATCTCATGGGAGGACTTGGGAGGGAAATGCCTGAGTATTCTGGGCGACTGTTATTTGCTTGGTTGTTTCTTTGTATTCTTTTGCGGATTTTATGTGGGTATTGCTTTCAAGGCGGACCTAGATTGACCTTATGTGTGTGTGTGCGTATTTTCATTCCTTATCTGCTCTTTATGTTTATTTTGTTCACGGTTTGACTAGTTGGTAGCAGGGAATAATTTAACGGTAATACTGAATGGATATTGTGATTATAATCTATTATTGAACCAAATGATTGTTATGTAGGGGAGGGCGAGCACTCAGGAGGTATTTTCTTTGGCCAATTCAGATTTGGTACCGGGAAAATATGAAGGTTTGTATACATTCAGTTTTTATCGATCGCTGTTCAGTCACCAACATGGTTTAAGCAATATGTAACGATTTGTGTTCGTGCATGAATGTGTGTTTAGTACTGTTCTTGTTTGCTTTTAAGCATATGCATATACTTGTTTTTAATTGTAATCAAGTCTATTCTATCAACACATGTGGTTTTGGGTGTTTTCGTATTTAGAACAGGAGGATTGAAACTGTGGGAAGGGTCGCTAGATTTAATCACATCACTTAAATCTGAGTTGCAACATGGGAAGCTATCATTTGATGGAAAGCGAGTTCTAGAGGTAAGAACTTATGCGATAATCAATTTGGGATTGACATCTCAATATAAAAAAAAAAAAGGACTTTGAATGCCACTGTCTCGGTTTTTTGCTTGTGGTAATTAATTTATTTTTATGCTCTATACTAACAATGTAACATTTGTAGAAGTTCAATTTCTTATCGATCTGCAATTTTTTGTACTCATATCTGAATTTTTTAATTATTAGAGAGATGTAACTCAAACAAATAAAACAAAACAAAATGATCTATGCTCGAAAGCTTGAAGATATTGACCACGATGTTCAGAATTTTGTAAGTTACCATTGAAAAATACATTGAAAATAAATAGAGTAGAGATTAGGAAAATGGTCTATGGGACGTACTAAATGCCTTTTTTCTTGACAAAGTGAATCCAATAGGAAGCTATTCACCACCTTTTATAGATATATCTATTAAGTCGGGGCTTATGGTATTTAGGAATCCAGAAAATGGAGTAAAGAGTCATTATCTAGGATTATAACTACTATAATTGTTTATTGGTTTGAATTTTGGATTTAGGTTTTTGAATAGTAAAATTTTGAATTGAAATCGTTGTTTAATGTGATATAAATAGGTGTTATGTGATATTTTTTCTTTTGGTGCCTTTGAAGTGAAAATACCAATTTGATGTGATATTTTTTTAGGAGAAAATTATTGAATAGTAAAAAGATAAGGAAAGAAATCACAAAAGAACACACCCATAGACTTTTATTTTCTTTATTATTTTGCTGGATATCTTCATCGGACATGCTGCTTTGGGTACTACTATTACGAAGATATTCATCTCTTTTGTCATTTTTGCTCGTGTCCTTTCGTATTTCAGCTTGGATGTGGTCATGGACTTCCTGGTATATTTGCTTGCCTAAAGGTAAATTAAAGCACCGTCATAATCTTATTATTGATTTTGCAATAATCTCACTTGGCATGATGCCATGATTATACAATTTTACTATTGTACTTATGGGTGCTGTAGGGTGCAGTGGCTGTGCATTTCCAAGATTTCAACGTAGAAGTTCTTCGGTGCCTAACAATTCCCAATGTTCTTGCCAATGTTCAAAGGAAACCTGTGGAGGGTGGTCAGATCAACACCAACACCCGTTTTTTTGCTGGTGACTGGAATGAAGTGCATAGTGTTATCACAAGTGGATCAAAAACCGAAAATGACGATAGAAATCCTGAGTCCAATCAGATCGATGGATATGACATCATTCTTATGGCAGAGACCGTTTACTCCATGTCTGCTTTGCCTAACTTATATAATCTTATAATGAAGGTTTGGTTTAGTTTTTTTATTTAATTTTTCCGTTGTGCCTGGCAATTTCTTTCACTTGGAAATTCTTTCGCTTCTTTGTAATCAGTGCCTGAGAAATCCTAAAGGAGCTGTGTATATGGCGGCAAAGAAGTATTATTTTGGGGTGGGAGGCGGATCGAGGCGATTTCTGTCACTGGTTGAAAAGGATGGTATGTTCTATATTGACTGCACTCTCATTATCTTATAAAATGTCTGTCCTTGGTTAATAAGGGAAAAAAAAAACAGGTTCACATTCTTTGCTCCTATGTTTTTGTGCATATTTTCTGTGCTGTTAATTTTTGTCGCCTGAAACAATTTGCGAGAGTAACTCTAATCCCCAAGAAGGAAGTCACTTACGCCTTGCTTGTAATGTTAATTGTATGAAATAATAAGCCTCTGTTTACTTATGTTTTCACACTTTTTTATCATCAGTTTTCTTTTAAAAAAATATTACAACAAATATCTATTTATATGACGGAAAACACCTATTTTCTATTCAATTTCTTACTGTTCTCAAACCAACTCAAAATTCTAAAACACTTTCAAAACACGTGGTAGGTTTGGATTTATATATATGTCTGTGTATAATGTTATATAATGATCGATCAATGTTATTGAATATGTGGATTCTCATTACTTATATGCGTATTCGACTGTGTGGTTATATTTGTGTGGTTTATATGCATATGTATTTGTATGTTCTTTGTGAAGGTGCTTTATATAGATATAAAAGGAGTTAAAATGTCATTTAAACATACTAATATTCGGATACAATTGGATCAATTCTGGGTTGACAATGAAATCATATATCAATAGAACTTAGGGTAAATTATATAACACTTTCTTGTGTTTTAGTAAAAATGCATAAAACACCCCGTGTTTTATTTATTGCGTGAAACCCCCTTGTGTTAATATAAAGTTTGCATGAAACACCCTCTTGTCCATATTTGGTTCTAATTAAACCTAAATGATGCAAATCTTTTTAATAAGTTTTGAATAAAATAAATAATAAATAATTGATTAAATCATTTATTTTTATAGTTTTTATAAAAATCAGATAACAATTTGTCTCCCAAAAATTATAAAATGAAGGATTAGTCAATTATTTATTTGTTTATTTATTTTATTCAAAAAAATTATTTAAAATATTTTATATTTTTTATTTGTATAAAATTTGTATAATTTAGATTTTTATTTAGAACCAAACACCAGCTTTGGATAAGGAGGATGTTTCATGCAAACTTTATATTAACACGAGAGGGTTTCACGCAATAAATAAAACACGAGGTGTTTTATGCATTTTTACTAAAACACAAGGGGTGCTATATAATTTACCCTAGAACTTATAACAATGTCAGAATGTCTTCACAATTTTGAGGTTTGCCTACAGGTTCGTGGCCTATTTATTATGTCGTATTTGCATTGCACAAGTCCTTATAGTCTCCTTTGTATAGTTCTAAGGCATCGAACTTTCCTTTTTATGTTGTGTAAAATATATATATATATATATATCTTTGATACTAACATGGAGCTTCTCTAGGCATTCTTGCCTATTCCCTCGTTGCAGAAGTTGCCGATGGTTCATCCAATGTTCGAGAGGTTTGGAAGCTTCATTTCAAATGATACTCTTGAATCAAGTCTTGAAGGGCTTTGAGTCTATTATGTGTCCCGAGGTAATACATCGTGGCCTTGTTATTTATGGTTCGCCCTCGATCGGATTGATCTCAACAAAAAGATTATTTATGTTTTGAGTTTGGAGCTCATGTTTTGTTTGATTTATTTTCGACAAATCTTTATTGCCGATTTTATTTTATTCAATTTGGTTATATCATTCTTACCAGAAAAGATTGTAGCAGGAGCTTAGATTCAACTGCAGATGACAAAGATTCAAATGTACGAAGTTAATTGACAGCAAAGACATTTAAATTTACTACTAAGAAGAGAACAAAGGGGGTTCTGTTTTTTTCTTATATTTGTTTGTGTGTAGATCCTAATGTTCTTGTGGTTGAGGTGAAATGCTTATGGAATATGATATTTTATATCAGAAATGAGCATCTTTGGAAAAAAAAACTGCAATATTTTATGGTAAATTTGGAAAAAAAAAAAAAAAAAAAAAAAAAAAAAAAAAAAAACCAAAAAAACCAAAAAAACCGATTCCAAAGAAGTAGGCTAATAAAAAATTATATGGAATGTGTGTTTGTTTGGGAGTTTAGATTTTGGGTTGAGATTTGAATAGTAAAATTTTTTAATTGGAATAGTTTGTATAATGAAATATAAATAAGTATTAATGTGATGTTTTGATATTAAAATTAATTTTAGTATAATATAAAAAATGAAAAAATAACTATTTGATTGGCTGATTTTGGGGCAAAAAATTTACAGGAATAGTATAAATTCACCAAAAAAATTATCCAAATCCGTGTGTTTATATCATTTGTTTTTCTGTTTTTTTTTTTATTACACCTTAATTCTAATTTATTAGTAATTTTTTAATTTTAATAAGATTAATTAATTATCTTATTTTTCATGAATAATTATTTATATTATAATACTCCATTCGTCCAATTGAAATGTTATCATTTTTCATTTGTTTCCGTCAAGGTTATCATTTTCTAATTCATTTTTAATTTAGTAATTGTACTATCCTAATAAATACCTTTTCAATGGTACATGTATTTGTTGTCATTACTTTTATATTATATAATACTCGTTATAATACTAATATTAAAAAATTTATGTGCAAAAAGTAAACAACATCCTTGCACGTGGACGAGTGAGTATAATTATTTTTAATATATTTTTAATTATTTACTAATTATTATTTTTTTCAATTTCTGTGTTTGATGGGGGGATTATTAATTTTAAAAAATAAAATAAAATTACATCAAATCATTTTCCTCTGCATGGAGCCTAAATTGTTTTTCCAAGAATTCCTGCTTGATTATTATCTACATTTTACCACAAATAGATTTTACATTATTTTTAAATATATTCTACTATCAAATCAAGATTAAAGCCGTGAGTTCAACCAATCAATGTTTTCTTGATCGAATATGTCACGTAAAACTCTGCCCCAAAAAAATTAAGAAAGATTTAAGGTTTTTATTTTCATAACACATTTTTATTCATCTGACACTATTTATTTTTTAAAACTTATCACATCAAACACATTTTTTGTCTCACAAATCATCAAATATTAAATACTAACTTTTTATGTTTTCCAAATTTTCAAAAACCTCCAAAAACCTCTATCTAACAAACAAAATCTAAAGTATCAAAAATAAATACACTATATATATATATATTGACAAATTTATAAAGCTATATTACATATGATATGGATATAAAACCAAACCATTACATCAAAACAAGACATTCATAATTCCCATCCAAATCAAGAAACACACGCACAAACAAACAAACACTTGTGTGTGTGCATATATATATATATATATGTTATGAATTTATGATGATAGAATTATAATTGAGATGATGAATGAATGATCTATGCATCAGACCTGCAACGATAGTATTTCTGGCAACCTCTGTTGTAGGGGCGCGAGGGCTGCGGCAGGCATCCGCTGCCTCTCGAGTAGGGTTCGCCTGCGCCTCCGCCGTTGCAGACGGGCTGGTCCCTTTTCAGGGCCCCCGGCGATATGTATCTCCTCTTCTCCTCCTCCATAAATCTGCGGCTCGTCTCCGATTCCATGCTCATCTCTTCCGACTCCAAGTCCAAGTCCAAGTCTTGGCTGCATTCTGCGATCGAGGATCCACCACGGCGGCACGGCGACATCGAATACAGATCTACAGATGCTGATGATGGCTGGTGAGCTTGTCGATTTGATGATGTATCATTAATGGCAGCTGCTGTAGTGATCAAATGACTTAAGATTAGGGATAGGGAAATTGTAATGGATGATGACTTGAGATCCATTCTTGATTTTTCTTCTATCTGTCTATCTATGTGGTGTCTATGATCTTTTTTTTTTTGTGGTAACATTCTTTAGGAATTTGTTATAATAATAATAATAATCCCTCCGTCCCGAAACTAAGTATTTATTTGTTTTTTGCACATAGTTTTAAAAATATTAGTATTATATTGGGATATAGTAGGAATAAAATAAAAATGACTAAAATAACCTTATTAGTATGTGTGATATAACGTAATGACATTTGTGTAATATATTGTAAGTTGTAAGAGTATTTGTAATGTTAGGTAGATAGTACAGTTACTTAAAAAAAAGAAATGGATACTTTGTTATGGGACGGACTAAAATGGAAAAATAGATATTTTGTTATGGGATAGAGGAACGAGTAATAATAATTTGTTGTTGCATGCTTTGCTTTTTTGGAGATGGTGGAGAAGCCACTCACTAAGCCATTAGAGGCACTTCACCTAACCTACTATCTTTTGTGTATTTTTATTTTTATTTTTTCATTTAAACAATTCCTTGAATTTGATCTTGTGTGGAAGAATAATATATGTTCAAATATTTACACACAAGTTATAACAAAATTAGATAATAATTATTACTCCCGTCCCGGCTGTCATCTTTATTGTAGGTACGCGAATTTAGGATTACAGAGTATAATTATTAAATAATTAAAAATTGTATTATGGAAAATAACTATTGTAATAATAAAAATAATTTTATATTAAGATTAAAATAACTAATTAGTATAATTAAAATTAAAAATAAAAATTTTAAAATGAGATCAAAGTGTATAATTATTTTTCAAATGACATAATAAATGAAACATACGAAAATAAAAAAGTGTACCGGAAAGTATTATTTTTTTGTATTTTATAGTAAAGAAAATGATAATTTTTTGCTTAAAAAAAGAAAATATTTTTTTCAAAAAAAATAAACGTAGATTTAAACAACTGATGAAATATATTTTATAGTCAAAAGTGGGACTTACATAATATATTTTTTTTTTTTGTTAAAAAATATATATTAAAAAAAAAAGAACAAAAAAGACTATAGGAACCACATACCATCCATCATGGGTGCTTGTTATGTGGGCGGCGAATGCTGAACTTGATTTAGAATTGTGTTGTTAACAGATCAGCATGTTTGAATACAAAATTAATTTTTAATATAATATAAAATAAAAAATAAGTGTTTGATTTAATATTTTTTAAGAAACAAAATTGATTTTTAATATAATATAAAACATAAAAAATAGGTGTTTGATTTGATATTTTTTAAGAAACAAAATTGATTTTTAATATAATATAAAACATAAAAAATAGATGTTTGATTTGATATTTTTTAAAAAATAAAATTAATTTTTAATATAATATAAAACATAAAAAATAGGTGTTTGATTTGATTTTTTTAAGAAAGAAAAAAAAGATAAATAGTGTATTTAAAATCCAATCCCCCAGACAAACATATACTCATAATTAAGTATAAATTGAGATATAAATCTTCTCAATCACAACATAACATCATTAAATTATGGTATAAATTTATTGAACCATACAAGAAAAGAAAAATATTGAAATGTAGTATAGATTTCTAAAGTTTATATGACAGGCAACAAAAAATCTAAAAACCAGCAACATTTGGAAGTTTTTAGAGTTTTGAAAATTTAAAAATAATATTTAATGTGATTCTATAAAATATATACATATTTGATGTAATATTCTTCCAAAAATACAACAGCCCATATTATCCTTCACGTATAATAAAGATAGACAATATATATATATATATATATTTATAACAAATATATACTGACAGGATCAAATATCAGTCCGTCCCTAGTTGATTTTGGGGATAAAATTTAAATAAAAAATGCAAGACCAGATGCAAACTTAAAAACAAACATGGCCTAAATGCTAATAAGGTCATCGACATTCAAAACATATTTTAAATTGCACAAAATCTATATGTGGTTTCACGAAATTAGGTTTCAAACTCCCTCGTGAGTTCATAAACTCTGCGTCTAACCCCCTCGACGGTCTTTATTTAACAGTATTTGACTTAAATGCGCTCAAAATGCGAATAAATTTTAGTACTCAATTGCTAAATCTCTAAAATTACAAATATATTTATTTTTCTTATATTTAGCTTAAAAAAAACAGTAAAAATAAACTCTTAAAACCTGAGAAAAATAACTATTTTTAAATATATTTACTATTTTTTTAGACTAGATATAAAATTTTTTTTATATATTTGTAATTTTAGAGATTTAAAAATTGAAATTTTAAAATTTATTCGCAGGTCAAATACCTGCGAATAAGAACCATCGAGGGGGTTAACGCTGAGTTTATGAAACTACGAGAAAGTTTATCGCAGTTTTAGAAGTATAAAGAATTTGGCCGCAATTTCATAAAATTACAAGCAGGTTTTCTGCGATTTAGCTTTCAAATTTAAAACATAAAGTTCCCGCCTATTTTAAAAACTTGGAATCCAACACATAACAGACTGAAATGATTTGAGAGTGGAGAAGTAATTCCCAGCTTCATTTAGAAGGAAATGTAATGTGATAGAGCTGTCAGAATGGAAATTTACGGAGAATAGTGGCAGAAGAAAACAGAATAAATTGCATGTTCCTATGTAATGAAGGTCGAGGAAGATCGTTCATACCTTTGTAAACACAGAAGATGGTTTGGTTCTCGAAAACATTAGGGATCAGAGGACTCCGAAGAAGGGATTATTGATGGCGTTGTTTAATTCAGTTCCTGCGGAGTGAAGGACAGCAATGTCGACTTTCTCTCTTGGTAGATACAGGAACTCTCCGCCTTCGATTTTCTCAAATCCGCAGAGCTCCAGAAATTCGATGCCTCCCTGCAGTTTTCCAACTCGATCCTGTGGATCGGAAGGGAAGCACGATCACATAGAATGAACTTTTTGAGTATATTATGTGCGTATCAGAACTCGATGCATAAATGTAATTCATGTGTTGGTTAGATAAATGAGGGCCGTGTCAGAAATATATCATTTCTTATCTTCAATTGATTGCGTGGAACCGTCACATTAAAATATCGGATACAAGTAATATGCTATAAACAGAGTTGGGAGTTCGACTAAAGCTATGCTTGAAAATCTAATCTAATCTAATCTAATCTAATCTAAACAAATAGAATGGCGGATCACATTCCGAAAATAGTTTAGACATAAATTCTAGCACCATCTCAAAAGCACAATGCATTTTTCTTGATGACATATTTTCCTATGATGCCCACATTGAGTGCTTACGGACTTTTCTTATTACAATACAATTCAAAAAGATTTGTATTATTTCGTAAAAGAATTATATATGACATCTTATAAAATGGTTTTATTCAGCAATAAATCACGATGAGTAGTAGCATGCCCAATTAGTAGCGCGTTACAATTTCAATACGAGAAGTCTAGAACTAGATAGCACGATTAGAAATAATCCTAAGCTCTATTTATTTAAACTTAACAGAAGCTAAACTGCCTTAAATTTCAGAATCGAAGTGCCACAATAGAAGGGAATGAAGTTTGCAAAGTCGTAACATGAAACATTGCCTGAAGGTCTTAAAATGAGTTATCTTTTAATCGAGAATTTTGAAAGTAGTTATACAAATACGAGAGCAGTGGGGGTGACAGCATCATAAGCATAAGAACGGAGGAAGTCATGGCTAACCAAATTAATAAAGAACTTAAGAAAAGTACCTGAAAATTTGCATTTGTGAGCCTAATTTTCCGGAATTTCTCTTCACTTGGATTTGTTGCAACATTCTTTGCAAAAGTTAAAAGAGTGTTGAAAGCAGTTTTCACTTTGCCATCATCATCCTAGTCAATCATAAAAATAAACTGCTTTACAAGAAGAAAACAGGATTAACACACATCATAATCGGCACAGTTATTCAGCAAGTTATCCACAAAATGAAAAAAAGAAGGGCTGCAGCTTGATCATATTTCAACTTTCAAAACCAGCACTTCATCAGCCCTGTGCTTTCTTTACCCACACCAAAAAAATACTTATCTTGCCTTCGACTACTTAGCTAAATCTGTTATTCCTTTCCCTCCATACACATATCACTCTCTTTCAATCTCCCATGTTTGTTTCAAATCATAGTCTCACCTTGTGATTCTGTTTAATAGATCTTAGGCACTCTCTCATTTGCTCTGCTTTGGTGGCTGGCCTGACGGGCAGGGAGCTCTGCAGATGGAATTTGATGAGAGTAGCTGAGAGCAGAAAACTAGAGGAAATAGAAAAAGTAGAGCAACTAAATAACTTAAGCATCACGTCTAAATACCTTTTTCTCCTCCACCGGTGGAGCAGAAGGTTTTGCAGCAGCTGGCTCTTCTGGAGGCAATCCAAGCTTTCTCCGTCTTTCTGCCTGTCATACCGAGAAAAACTGTTCTTTAATTTTTATTTTAATAAAGAAACGAAGTAGAGCTCATTAATTCCAATTAAAGTCAGCCAGCCAGGAGAATAGTTGGATGATCGAAGAAATGAGGACCTTATCTTCCTCCAACTTTTGACGAATTTTCTCCCTAGCTCTTTTCTCTTCCTCTTTCTCTGCTTTTCTCAAGGCCAGTAAACTACATGAGCATAAAGAATACATTCAGAATATCCACCAGCAATGCCTTATTTGATTTAGAAAGATATGCATGAAGCCAAACCGTTTTCTTTCATTTTCCTCTTCAATGCGCTTGGCTTCAAGTAGTTCCCTCCCCACACGAATTCTTTCCTGCCACATTATTTAGAATCATGCTACTGAATACTTGGCAACTGAAATCCAAAAACTATAGATGTAGAAAAAACTTTAAGGGTGTGTTTGTTTGGGGGATTGGATTAGATTTCCACTATTCATTTCATTTTTTCCCCAAAAAAATCAAATCAAACACCTATTTTTCATTTTTTATATTATACTAAAAATCAATTTTACATTCAAAACTTCACATCAACACCTATTTATATCACATCATACAACTATTCAAATTCAAAATTTTTACTATTCAAATCCCAACTCAAAATCCAAACCCCCAAACAAACACACCCTAAGTTGATCAAACAATTTCCAACAAAAAGGTTAAAAGTTGGTTGATCATAACACTCTTTAGGGAAAATAGATGTTAGGAGGTTCCATTGCTAAACATGGATCCCAATACCAGCAATTAATTTTTACCAAGTTTAAGTTAAAAGTAAATCGCATAAGCAGAGAGAATAGCATGACAATCTACCTTCTCTCTTTCTCTTTCCATTCGTTTTTCTTCCTCTTCTTTCTTTTTGCGAGCCCGTTCCCTACAAAGTTTGTAGTCAATGGAAATAAACACAGCTCACAAATATATATCCACACACACATATACGTATATATGATCTGCACAAAAAGGCGACATGAACAGGTACTTAGCATCATGACAATTAATGTTGACAAGCCATCCAAATAATGTTATTTGAGATAATATTTGGCTGCAAACAGTCAAGAACTGAATGGCCCAACTGTGAGTTAAATGTTGAAATATTGTCTTCATAAGTATAACTAGTTGTTACTTCATAGTTCATTTTCATGAATAATAAACATAATAAAACTTTACCAGTAATAAAAATATGCAAAAGAGGGGAAAAAAAAAAACAAAGCATCAAAAGATACCTTAGTTCTTGTTGTCTTTGCTTAATCTCTTCTGGTGTTAGGGGTTTCTTTGCAGTCTCATCTTTCTTGGAACTGACAGGCACCTAAAAAAATGAAAATGGAGACTTGTAATGATTTTTGAGCTAGAGCCAATTATAACCAAATACAATTATTTTATTTTTAAATAAAAGTACAAGAACTGTATACAAAATATAAAAACAAAAAATAAATGTATTACGTTTAATCTATGACCTACTAATAAATTAGATAAGAAAATGCCTACCCAAGTGTAAGGTCTTATGCCTTAATAACTCATGGTATCTTCAGTAACAATTGTTTTGATCCTTAAACATAAAATAATTAACTTACTTTATTAACACAAAGCCAATTAGTATTTCTGGCATAGTGGTCAAATAGTTTCTGTTAATTTTCAGCTTAAAAGAATTACATTTAAAACATTAATGATAATTGAAGAATTGCTCAACTATTTCGAAATGGCATATGAATAGGACAGGACCAATTATAAAACTCCAGGATGTAGATTCAATTTATATTATAATCCTAGCAAGCCATGATCTTCTTATCTACAGTGACCTCAAATAAAAAATACTTAATACATCAATTTATCAGGCTCAACTGTCAATTTCAAGTGTCTTGTTCGATAAAAAAATATGGGGAGTTATGCAAGCAAAACTGCATATATGTAAAACAGAGACTAAAATCGCTTCAAGCTATAAGCTGCACATCATGTCGATGGAAAATAAGTGTGAAAAACCCTATTTGGCACATACATAATCATTAGTCACATACAGGTATGTTCATGTGTGTGTGCTTCCAGGATAGGGGAGGCATGTAATCCAAATCAGGATGGAGGGAGGTCCCATGATATAACTATAAACCTTGAATAAAATGAACAGTTGATAAGGTATATTCTTTAAAATACAAACCAGTGGCATTTGGTCTATGTCTGGGTCATTCTCATGTTCAACAATCCAATTTGCAGCAGCCTCAAGGTTGACATTGCCTAAAAAAATTTCGAGCAGAATTCAGCCACCAGTTTTACTATTATAGAAAGAGATCAGACATTAAAATGAAGCAGCAATGCATGTGAAAGTGACACTGTCTGTGAATGTGTGTGTGAGAGAAAGGGGGGGGGGGGGGGTAAGACCATCAAAAACCTTGTTCTAGACCAGCAAGCATAATAATTGATGTATACTGAAAGTAAATGAAAGTGAAGTATCAAGATATTAGCAAGTGCATCAATTTGTACTGAAGTCCTGCATACCAGAAAAATGCAGTGCTCGAGTTGCCCTCTCTTTAGGAAATCCCATTTCCTCAAGTTCTCCCAACAACTGCTGATTGACTTCAGGAACCACCATTTCTAAACAGATGAAAGGCACCAGCCAGTTGTGTTAGGGGAGTGAGATGAGCAAACATTGCAGTTGAACATTCAGTAATTGTACAATTTTGGAGAATAAATTATTTAACATCAATATTCAGACTTCGTACTTCAAAGTTCAAATGTTAACCCTAAATGTTGAATGTTCTAAGTTAGTGAATGAAGTAATAGTAAAATGATATTAAAAAAAAAGAGAGAGAGAGAGAGAGAGAGAAAAGAAAAGAAAAAAGAAAGGTAAACGGATATGAACTTGACGAAATGGATTAGGAGGGGATTCTCTTCCCTGTGTGGAAATAAAACAACAATGCTTGTCCAATACATTCTTCTAATATCAAACAAGTACATAATTGACAGCTGAACTCCATACGTTATGATATAAGATATAATCAACTTATGATCAATGATAAATGTAACAGAAGACTTTAAGGATTGCTCCACACCATGCTTAGAGGAAATTACTTAGCATTCATAACTCACAAGAACAAAACAAGGACGATGAATAAAATAATCGAAAGAAAAACAACGATTACCTTCTTGTTGACTACTGCTACCATCACCAGCTTCCACCATCTCCACATCATCCTTGGCCTTTGGAGCCTCCAAACTTATTGGCTTTGCTGCTTCTGATGTCTTGTCAGCAAAGTCAGCATGTCCAGTCCTCTTAGTGTGCAAGTCACTTTCCTGAAAACAGCAAAAATTACAGATGAATCGGTTAACTACTTTGAAATCCCAAATCAGAAACATTTTCTACTTCAATCCAAGAATAACATAGAACAAACAAAACAAGATACGAACTGAAAACAAATACATCACAAAACTACAAACTGATGAGTAATATTGAATTATAATAGTTCAGGAAAGGTACAGTTTTTGAGCGGCAAGGTTTTCCGCAGGTGGAGCAGACTAAATTAAGGACAGCTTCGGTGGATTCGACGAAATTAGCGTGTTTGGTGAGCTCGGCGTGCTCCTGCGCCTCCTCCACCGACTTCAGAAGCGTGCCGCAGTCGCCGCACTTCAATGACACCCCGGCCATAATCGGAGAAACACACAGACACAAACCGATTTGGAAATGGTTCGATTGGTGGATTGATCGCCTGGGCTCGGAAGATCCGCGAGGATTTGTTCGTGGGGAAAATCAAATGGGTTGAAATTGGGTTCAATTGAGGTTTGGTGAAGAATCTGGAAACTGATGAGACGAGCGAGCAATCGGAGAGGCAAGCAAAGTACAAAGCAGGTAAGAGGGTATATTAGGGATTTTACAAATGAATCCACCTATTAATATTACATTTATTCTCATTTCAAGTCGAAATAAAAATATATTCCCTTCGTCCCAAAAGAATTGTCTTGTTTTTCTATTTCATTTCAAAATAATTGTCTTGTTTACTTGTTTAGTAACTGTAGTCCCACCATACAACAAAACTATCCCATACTTTTACATAATATTTACAAAAATGCCACTGCAATTACAAATTTTAAAATAACACACAAATTAATTAAATTTCATCCACCCAAATTAATATTCTACCCGCCCCACCTAATTATTACCCATCCACTCCCTAAATCCACCCACCTTCGTAACCCTAATCATTTAATACTCTTCTTTCTCACCGCGGCTCTCATTTTCCTTCGTCCTTGAAGTTCTTCTTCTAGGGTTTCTTTTCTATAAAAATCTCGCCGTTGCCGCTATTTTCGCTTGTGAATCGGCCGGAAAACTTCGGAAATGGCTTCTCCTCTTCAAGGCGAACAAGATGAGCTGACGGATTCAACATTTTCGTGTCCTCCGCCGTTGATCGAGATTTCCGATTTCGGCTTTGGTGACACCGTCGACGATGAAGTCGCCGCTGATTCGAAGTCCGACGGTGAAGAGCGATTGGGTGTGGGGGTGAAGGAACGAAAATATCTTTTTCGTAAACTCCAAAAGCCCTCCGTCGCTCGCGAGGTACTGTTGATGTTTATTCCAATCTTTTGTCCACTCGCTATGAAGTTGGAGAAGTACAAAAAAGGTAAGATTTGTAGTTAGTTGTTGTTTTAGAAAATGGTTTATCATTGTTTTCTTAAATCTACATTATTTGTGTATTATTCCTATTAATATGTGTAGTTATTGATTAAATTTTCTTTTGGTTGGAGGAATCATTTGAAGAAAGCTAAAAAATGGGAGTTCTGGACTTGTTCAAAGCACTGTTTGTTCTGTCGGTTACGATTCGGAGGTGAAATGGCTTGAACTTAAGCTTATATGTGCTCTACCGTGCTTATATGTGCTCCACCATGCTTATATGTGATGCTACGTGAAAATTATATGTTCGGTTGTTGGGAGTTTGAGTATATGGGACATTATGATGAGAAATATGCTACTAATTGGGTAAATAAAGCTGTCTTATAATCTACGAGGTTTTGGAGACAATTCCATAATGTTTTGTCACCCCTCGTGGATGCGTGTATGTTCCGTCTGTCCAACTAATCTGAGAGTGATTTGATCACACTCTGTGATGATTAATAATAGGTTAGCTCCTTTTTTTTTATCATGATGAATTTATTATATGAGAGTGATTCCCACACCCTAAACCAGCCTAACAATTGTTTCATAAGATGAAATTCTACTTGATGATGACTTTAAAGTTTGAAAGTGGACATGTAGCTCAATGATAATAAATGTGAGAGCTATATGAATAATGGTCCATATATTACACTATGTCCAAAAAGGATTACTAGTATTTAAAATCAACTTTTAGTGCGAAAACACCAATCCTAAGTCATACTCTCTAAGAGGGTGATGAGTTGCTCAATGTATGCGGCTTCATTACTCTCGAAAAGTTGTTCTAACGTGAACTTGACCAGTTCTTGGTCTACTTCCAAGTTGGTCGGGAGTAAATCTTTTCTTGCAAGTGCTGCTTTGCCCAATGGTATCTTGTAGTCGTCGCCACCTTGACAATTAAGAATCTCGGTTAGACACATTTGTAATGTGATGAAAATATTGTTAAGAGTTGAATTTGATAGCTCTTTGAAAGAATTGGCAACGGCTTTTAGTAGTTCTTCCACATTGTAGCTTACTTTTGATACTTGTAAGGACTTGCAATGATCTAAACCAAGGTTGTTACGGCGAGGATCTAGGAACGATGCCATCGGACTGCCATATCGCCTAGGCGACATGGCGCCCGAAATGGCGACAATATGGCGATACGGCGACCTGCTTAGTGCTTATTATAAGTTTATAATATTTAATTATATAACATAAAATTATAACATCAAATCATTAGATTTCAAATAAAATATCAAAATACCAAAATATCAAAATATCAAAATACTAAGCATAACCATCAAAACACTAAAGTATCAATATGTCAAAATATGAAAGTTTCAAAACATCAAGAGAAAAGTCCCTCAATTTCTCAAATTTCCATTAATCTTCAGTATTCATATCATCTTCATCGTTTTCTTCATCCTCATTTGTCAAACGTCTATTAGAAGGGCCATGGCGACGGTCATACACGATGGGGGGACCTGAGGATTCGCCAACACCTCTACTACGAAGATTGGAATTATTGAGATTACTTGAAGCACCTACGGCTTCATCAACATGATGCCACTCAAGATCTCCATCTTCATGAACCAAATCTCGAGAATCATCAACCCATTCATTGTCCCATTGAAATTCTTCAAGAATTAAGGGATTAAAATTGTTTCCTTCTTCCCGCCGCTTTTGAAAGCGATGTGCAATCTTCCGATTATATTGAACATACACCAAATCATTTAGTCTTTGGTGCTCTAGTCTATTTCTTTTCTTGGTATGAATCTAGAAATAAAACTTTATATCAAAATTTGAAAATTATTACTAAAATATTAATATAAGTAAATTTCGAACAAATTTACTTACAAATTCAAATGTGCTCCAATTGCGCTCACAACCGGCAGAAGAGCAACATATACTAATAGTTCGTATGGAAAGTGATCGAAGTTCTTCGTTGTCACCACTATATGCATCCCACCAATCAACTAAAATATATTTATAAAAAAAAAATTATAGTCAATATGTGAAATTAAGTTTCATATAAAATAAAAATATATATATGTTAAAAAAACTTACGATGACTCTTTTGCATTTGGTGCTTGATTGCCAATTGACGGTCAAAGCTTCCTCTCATTTTATCATAATCATCTGCTTGACCACTAATCTTATCCATCAACTATTCATCTTTAACCATCTTTTCTAGAACATCATTAAACAACTGACGTTGCTTACGAGCAAATACGGGATCACTCCTCTTCAATTCAAAATATTTTGAAGGATTTAGGAATAGTGCAGCCCCATATAACTTCACCTCCATTTGATCGCTCCATCGATCCTCAATAATTTCCATCAACTTGGCCAACAATCTTGTTTTGTTATTGCTCGTAAAAGATTCAGTTATTTTCTTCTTCGCATGATTCATACCCGAAGAAAGCTTAGGCATGGCTGGCTTTTCATCACCATCGACTATCCTCAAAACAATCAAAAGATGAAGGGTTGCTCGTAAACAATCTTCTACCTGATCCCAAAATTTCGATGAAAGAATGGTTTCCATCACCTTTTTTCCTTTTGACGTTTTTGACAACTTGTTATCGCTCCAATCATCACTCACAAATAACCGCCTCAATTCATTCCTATGTTTGTTTAAACTCTGCAAAGTGAGAAATGCGGTAGCAAATCGGGTAGTCGCCGGCCTCACCGGATCTCTGCCATTGGTCTTTTCCCTCATTGCACTGAGAATTCTCCCATGTCTATAAATAAAAGTGGTGACGTCCCTAGCCTTTTGAATGTAGGGTTTAAATTCATTCATTTTCCCAATGTCTTCTAGCATAAGATCGATACAATGAGCTGCACATGGTGTCCAAAAAAGACCGGGAATGCGCTGTTCTAATAATCTTCCCGCCGCTTTATAATTTGCTCCATTATCCGTCACAATTTGCACAACATACTCCTTGCCAATTTCTTCAACCTTTTTTTCAAGCAGGTCAGCCAATATTCTTGCATCATGTGACTCAGCTGATGCATCAATAGACTCCAAGAAAAAAGTCCCCTCTGGACTATTGACAAGAAAATTTATCAAGTGCCGCCCTCTTTTGTCTGTCCACCCATCTGACATAAGGGAACACCCATATTGTTTCCAAGCTTACATGTGCCTTTCTTTCAACTTATGTGTTACATTCACGGCATCTTCAAGAAATGGTTCTCGCAACTGATGATAACTAGTAGGTTTCAAACCGGAACCATATTGTCCGATAGCCTCAACCATAATCTCGTAACTTCTTGATTTGGAAGCATTGAATGGAATGACATTTTCATAGAAAAAATCGGCAATACGCCTTTGCACTTCTTTTGTTTCCTCTTTTCCTTTTGTAGAAGCTTCGATGGTTTTCTGAACATAACCGCTCATTTGTCTTTCTTCAACAATCTCTTCAATAGTCTTTCGAATCATTGCAGCAATTGACTTACTTTGTTTTCCAACTCTCGGAGGTTCAGAAAACTTTAAAGTTGATTGAGCGAACTTTCTTTTGCTACTTGTTCCTGAACTTGGATGCACTGGAGGCTTGGAAGATGAATTTGTAGCACCCGTAGATTGATTTTCTTCTAAATCCTTATTGTCTTCGGTATCCTCAAAATAATCAAATTCGGCAATACCCCGCGATGTTTTATTCATCACTTTTTTGCTCATAAATTGATGTATTTCCTTAGGAATTTCTTCTGTGGTATTAGGGCATTTAACAACATCGTCGTAGCTCCCAACTAAATGTTGTTTTAACCTCTTGACTCCAGAATGCATTTGTCTATGACAAAGAGAGCATTCAATCAAATCTTTGTTATTCAAATCCGGCCAAAATCCATACTTCCATCATTGATCTGATGATTTGGCCTTTCTTGCCGGATCATTTGATAAATCTTGGATATTTTCATTATCTGTCATTAAAGTAACTAGTACAAAAAAAATATATAAATAAAAAATGTATAAGTAATAGATCAATCATTAAAACATAAATAAATTAATATAAAAATCAAACATAATAAAAATAAAATAAATTAAAATTTATAAAATATATAAACAAACTATTCAGCATACACTAATATTATATAATATAACTTATACGATAGTACATACTTACATAAATTAACTATATAAATTATAATATTAAATAATTATGAAAAAAGTGGAAAACTGCAAAACCATTAATAACTGTCCCACTCTGCCCACCTTACTAGACAGAATAGTACATGAAAATATATATAATAGTATAAAGTAATTCTGCAAAACTCTGCACTCTGCACACTCAGTACTGCACTAATAATTATATTATATATATAATTATATATACACTCCACTCATACAAGTTACAACGTAGAAACATATTATTCTTCTTACCTACGCGGAAGATGGAAGACGACGATGGAAGACGAAATTGAAGAGGCGGATAGCGGCAGCAACGAAGGTATTAGGGCTGTGATTCAAGTTTTAAGGCTGGGTTTAAGAATGAGTTTAGGGGTGGGTTAATTTTAGAAAGAATTTAATCTAATTTAAACCTAAGATTTAGGCCCAAACTTCTTTTGGCGTCGTCTTGGCGGAATGGCATTTCCAAAGTAACGCCTGGACGCCATCCTCGCCAAACGGCGAGGCGACCAACTCCGGTGGTGTAGCATCATCGCCAGGACGCCTAGGCGACGCCGTGACAACCTTGATCTAAACCACCATAGATCATCTATATTTGTATCCGGGCTATTAGGCGGTTGAAATATCAAATGGATATCAAATCCATCACTGCTTGCCACTTCCCGGAATTCCGGATCATTGTCGTCGATGTAAGGCTTCGCATTTTCTTATTATATGTAAATTGTGTTAAAAGCATCAGTAGGCCATTTTTTCTTAATTGTCGGAATCACCTACAAGTACAATTCAATGATGATTAATAAATAATGGGTTATTGCTGAGAGTTGTACATCATTTAGCCAAAAAAGAATAAATAAGGTGCTTACATCATCTATCAATACTTCCTTGGTGACTTCTTTTGTAATTGAATCCAATGGTTTAATCTTCATTGTCTCGGCAGCCCTGTTCTTAGAATTATGCTTCGCAAGTTCTTTTTTTGTGAATGGAAAATGTTCAATTTTTCCATCAAATACATACTCTCCATTGGAACCATATAGGGGTCTTGATACGGCACGAAGGAACATTATCTTGGTAATGAACCTTTTGCTTTGACAAGTTCTATACGGTTCAATCTCATCGAATGCTAAATAGTACGTATCATTCTCTTTAGATAAGTTAAACCATTTATCGTCAATATGCACGATATTGAACATGTTTTTGTACCTTATGATGCTAGATTCCAATACAACCTCCAATGCTTGGAGGAAAGATCGTAGCCGACTTGTCTTGTTCTTCTCGGTTAAGCTTGGTTTGATTGCATTTGTGTGTTCTCTAAATATTCCATCTTTGTACCATCTCCCAACACTACTTTTGCTTACTTTTAACTCTTTGGAAATACTCCTATACGTACCTCGTTTGCTGCAATGGATTTCTTCCAAATTGTTGGCATCAAATAAGGCTGATTTTGGCCTTCCTTTGCCAATTTTTCTCTTTGTCAAAAGCTTTGTGTTACTTGCCTTATGTTGCGCGGTTTCCCTTTTCCAAATGTGGCTGATTGTTCTAGTTGAACATCCAAACTTTGTGGCAGCCTTGTTGATTTTGCCACGATGGGGCTGCCCGTTGGAAGAATTTTGCCACAAAAAAATTGCAATTTGATTGAGCTCTTCTACACTAAATTCTTTTTTTCTCATCTTTAAAATCGGAGAATTGATGGAATTTGTGTGTTACTTGATTACTTATAGAAAGTAATTGGGGGGGGGGGGGAATGATTTTACATTGGAGGGAAATGATTTATGGCTTTTTTTTTGGTTTGGAGGAAAATAATGATGATTATGTCACTTATCTAATTGAATTTTTTCTTATGAGTTTATCTTTCAAAAAATGATGCAAAAATAATTTTTTTGATGAATTTTCATGGAAGTTTGATGTTCATATAAAATCGGAACATATTTCGGATTTTTGTTATGACTAGCTTGGTACATTTTTTATGTTGCCTGCTGTGTTGTGCATATTTACACGAAATGCTATTGCTGCTACCTCCGGTGATATATTCTGCATTGCTGCCTTCCGTGACTACTTCTGCTGCTTTTGTAATGTAATTTTATTTTGATTTTTTCGTTAATAAAAAAATAAAAAATATGTAGCTGATTTTGCAGGATTAATTTTAATTTTTGTTAGTATTACATTTTCTTTATTTTGTTTGTACAAATTAAGTTGTAGTTATCACTTTAATCTCTTTCTTCAACCCTTCATAAAGTAAGGGCATTTTAGTCATTTCTATTCTACTTTATACCAACTCTCAATTAAATACTATTATTACTTAATTACCGTGCCAACTACCAATAAGACGCCTCTTCTAGGACGGAGGGAGTATTATTTTTTTTATAAAATATCACACTAAAATGCTACTGATTTTAATAAATATTTAACAACCAACAATCCTTTCGGTACATCTGAAATTATTTTTTCTATTTTTTTACCATTTTATATTATTGTAAGAAAAATTATTTATTAATATTTGTTATGTTTAAACGAGAAAGAAAACAAATAAAGAACACAGAGATTTTGCGTGGTTCGATGACAGTGTGTCAACCTACGTCCACGGGCAAGAACCGGAGAGATTTTATTATACTGATTCAGAGAGTTACAATTATGTCATACAACTAGGAATCATAGCTATCTATTTATAAGCACCCCAAAATACCCTAAACCCTAAGTCTATTTGTTATTAATTATGATAAGCCCAATGGGAACCCTGTCAATTGAAACAATCCTTTCGCTTTGGTTTTGGGTCAGGTAGACCGCTAAATCCAAGTCACTTTTCAACAATTCTCCACCTTGACTTGAAATTTCTCCAACGGCCAAAGGTTCGTCAGTATCTATCAATCGTCTCCTTCCTGCCAGATGCCCCGAGAGGACTTTACCTCCTGCGAATATTCACCAAATTCAAGCAGTGCTCGAACTTCTCCATTGGTAGCGTCTTTGTCAACATATCAATTGGATTATGTTCTGTAGCCATTTTCTGAATAGAAAACCTGTCTTCCTCCAGAACCTCACGGATAAAATTCAACCTTACATCAATATGTTTGGTTCTCTTATGATACAATCGATTTTTATCCAATCTCAAAGCACTCTGACTATCACAGAATAACACAAGTTTCTCCACCTTCAAACCCAAACTCTGCACCAGACTATGTAACCAGATACCCTCCTTAATACCTTCAGTCATTGACATGTATTCCGCCTCAGTCGTCGACAGTGCAACCGTAGGTTGTAAAGTAGACTTCCAACTGACTGCATATCCAAACAGAGTGAAGATAAAGCAAGTCAGTGATCTTCGTTTCACCAAGTCACCCCCGTAATCAGAGTCTGCATAGCCAACCAGACCATCAACATGTCCTTTATCATCATATACCAGACAAATATCAGACGTTCATTTCAAATATCGCAAGATCCACTTTACAACTCCCCAGTGAGCTTTACCAGGATTAACCATAAACATGCTCGCCAAACTAACCTCATAAGCAAGATCTAGTCTCGTACATACCATCGCATACATAAGACTTCCAACTATACTTGAATATGAAACCGTCTTCATGTAGCTAACCTCTTCATCTATAGCCGGTATAGTGCTTCGATCAAGTTTAAAGTGTTCCGCCAAAGGAAAAAGAATGCCAGCAAAAATTTTTCAATATACTTTTCTTGAGAAACCCATAGCCGTTCTACTTCTCTATCATGCAAGATCTCCATGCCCAGTATTTTCTTTGTTGCACCCAAATCCTTCATCTCAAACTCACCCTTTAGTAGAGCCTTCAAGTCATTAATTACAGCCATGTTTTTAGCTGCAATTAACATATCATCTATATACAACAGCAGATACACAAAGGAATCATTAGAAACTTTCTTCGAGTAAACACAATTATCAAACTGATCACGAGTATAACCATTAGACACCATGAAATAATCAAATCTTTTATACCACTGCCTCGGAGACTGCTTCAAGCCATACAGAGATTTCTTTAACAAGCATACCTACTCCCCTTTAGAACTGTTGAACCCCTCCGGTTGAGACATGTAAATATGTTCTTCTATATTACCACGAATGAATGTTATTTTTACATCAAGCTGCTCCAGCTCCAGATCAAAAGCACTCACCATTGCAAAAAGAACCCGGATGGTTTTGTGTTTCACCATAGGAGAAAAGACTTCATGGTAATCGACTCATTCCTTTTGTGAGAACCCTTTTGCCAACAGTCTCGCCTTAAACCTAGCAGGTTCAACACCAGGAATTCCCTCATTTCTTTAAAAGACTCACTTGCATCCCATTGGTTTCTCCCTTTTTGGTAGTGCAACAAGATCCCAAGTCTTGTTCTTTTCAAGAGACTGCATCTCTTCATTCATTGTTATAATCCAAGTTTCTGCATCTTTACTTGCCACAACTTCTTTATATGTTTTTGGCTTATCAGAACCAAGATCATCACCAACTGCCAATGGTAAGCCACATAATTCATGTCACATGTTTTGACACATCCTGCAAACCTAGCTGGTTTCTGAATATCTCCTTTTCCATTTCTTACTGTTATGGAATCTTCAACCCCAATACCAGCGTCATCAGCTTCCTCCTCAACCAATTTGCCTTAAGGTTTTTACTGATCTGGTTGATCGAATTGATCAATAGTATTATCCTGCTGCTCTTTCTCTAACACAACTCTGTCGGGAGTCTCAAACTGCACCCTCTGGTCACCACCACAATCTTTTGTACCTGCAATATTTTCACAATCTCTACTCTGATTAAGCATAGCAGATTCATCAAAGGTTACATCTCTTCTAATAAGAAATTTATTAGGATTTTTACCTTCTGTACACCACAGTCGATAACCTTTTACTCTTGTTGTATACCCTAGAAATATGCATTTTACCGCCCACGGCTCCAGCTTACCATCATTCACATGAGCGTATGTTGGGCATCCAAATATTCTTAGATTAGAGTAATAAGAGGATTTACCTGACCATACCTCTTGAGGAGTCTTTAAGTCAATTGCAGTTGATGGAGATCTATTAACCAGATAGCTAACAGTGTTAAGTGCTTCAGTCCAGAATTGCTTAGATAAGCCAGCAAATATGCACATACACCTAGGACTCGCCATGAGGGTTTGGTTCATTCGCTCTGCAACCCCATTTTGTTGTGGTGTGTGTCGTATAGTACGATGTCTCACTATACCTTCTTTCTTGCAAAAGTCATCAAATGGAGCATTGTAGAACTCCAACCTATTATCAGTTCCTAGAGTCTTGACGTATTTACCCATCCGTTTTTCAACCATAGTCTTCCACTCATTGAACTTCCCAATCACCTCATCTTTAGTGTTCAGAAAGTACAACCAGACTTTTCTTGAATAATCATCTATGAAAGTGACAAAGTAAGAACAACCGCCCTGTGATTTTACCGGAGAGGGACACCATAAATCTGAATGAACATACTCCATAATTTCTTTTGAAGTGTGATGAACGGTACTAAACATCACCCTGCGTTGCTTCCATTTTACACAAGTTTCACATAATTGAATTTTACCTATCACATCCCCACCAAATAAACCCTGCTTGCTAAACACAGACAACCCTTGCTCACTCATATGACCTAATCGACGGTGCCACAAATTTGTCATGTCATCATGTTATCCAAAGACTGGGATCCCGCCGCCGTTCCCATCACTGAACTACCCTATAGAAAATAAATTCCATGTTGCAGTTTTCCCTTCATCACCAGAGCACCTTTCAGGACTTTCACCCACTCACATTCACCATGATATTTTAAACCATTCTTGGCTAAGGTGCCAAGAGAAATCAAATTCTTTCTGAGTTCAGGAACATACCAACAGTCAAATTTCCTGACAGTACCGTCATGCAATTTTATCTGCACTATCCCATTCCCCTTTATGGCTAGAACTCCATCATCACCTAACTTCACCGTTCCATTCCACTCCTTAAAAGAAGTGAGTAGATCACGAGAGAACGTCATATGATGAGAAGCACCGGTATCCATAACCTAGGAATCAACAGTACTAGCACTACACGCTGTCAGAACTTCACCAAAGTCCCCATCATCATAATTGTCTCGTACCACAGCAGCGCTGCTGCCACTGTTACTAGAATCAACTATTGTATTTCTCTTCTTCTGTGGACAATCCTTTTTAATGTGTCCCTTCTTCTTGCAAAGATAATACTTAACTTTGTTAGAGGATTTTGATTTTGAACGCGGCCTCCCATTCCCGTTACCCCTCTCATGTGGTCTTCCCCTACCTACAAACAGACCTGAACCAGAACCCTCTTCCAGATAAACATTTCTTTTCAATTCTTTGGACATAAGGGCATCTTTCACATCATTAACATAAATTGTAGTTCTACCATATAACATAGTATCTAAAAAATTCTCATATGAACCAGGTAGTGAACACAGTAAAATTATGGCTTGATTTTCATCATCTAATTTAACCTCAACCTATTGAAGATCAAGAATGATAGGGTTAAAGGTATCAAGATGATCATTTACCTAAGTACTTTCGGACATCCGGAGGGTGTAATGACGTTGCTTCTTATATAGCCTATTCGTGAGAGAGTTATTCCGGTACTTCTCACACAGTTTATTCCATAGCCCAAAAGCCGCCGTCTGATCTACAACCTCCCGTAACACCTA